CCAGCAGAGGCCTTCCCGGTCCCCGCCGCCCTCCTTCCAGCAGCCTGGGAAGCAACAGGGGAGACACCGGGAAACAGCGACGGGTCACACAGGAGAAGCAAGGACCCAGGCACTTGAGACGCCTCCACACCAGCCAAAGCCCTCTTACTTCGAGAGCTGCTGCTCAGAGGTCTGTCCCTCCACTCGGGAGGGCGGAAATCCCCCTCAGGCTGTGCTGCCACTCACGGAGGGCCCCATGCAGGCGGCGGCGGGACGGGGTGTGCCCTGCGGATGTGCACGGCCACCACTCCGATGGCCAAGGAGCAGAGGGGTGGAGGGCGAGCGCTTCAAGGACGGCAGGGGCCTGCCTCTAGGGCCCGTGCCCGCCCGCCGGCCCCTCTCACCACTCCATGCCACCTGCCGTCAGAGGCAAGCTCAGCTTTGTGGCTCTCACCTCCGGACGCCAACTCAGCCGAGCACGAAGCATGCATGTGTTCCTTAGAAGGGGCAGCTCAGGCATGGTAAAGGTGGCTTCCTCACACGGGGAAACGAGAGGCCACAGAAGGGGTCCCCTCCACAGTGGAGAGGCAGAGGGCAGAGCTGAGGGCAGGGGGAGGAGCTGGCAGCCCTCCGTCCGCACCCCCTGGCTGGGATGGGGTCCACCAAGGTAGGGGACCCGGCAGGAGGGACTGGAGAAGCCCAAGGAAGGGACACGGGTCTGCTGCGAAGGGAGGTCTCCGGGGAAAGGGCCGGACAGAAGGCATGCGATGTCCAAAGCCTGTCCCGGGGAACTATGGCGAGAATGCAAGCCGCCATGGGGGGGGGGTGCGGCAGGTCCCCAGGGCACGGCAGCTTCCACGGGCCGGCTGAGGGTTTTTCCACTGTGACGTGTTCTAGACCCCAGCGGCGAGGCTGACCTTTCCCACGGGTGCCATGCCGTTCAGGCGCAGCCCAGGCCGTTTCCGGGGCCACGCCCTCCCCATCCCCCACCCCCACGAGCCTGCCGCATCTCCCTTGAGGTCCAGAAACAGACCGAAGCGGATCCTAGAGCCCAGCCAAGACACCCACTCCCAGAACCAAGACCAGCCCGGCGAAGATGCGGCTTGAGGCCGACCCTGGGGTTGGGACCGTGAACCTGCAGACACCCACCCTCCCGGGCACACAGGACACAGTGGGCACGCCCACTCACGCCGGGCAGGATGCATTCCAACATGCCACTCGTGTCACGGAGCCTTGGTGAGACACAACGATAAAGCTCCTTCCTCGCTGGGCCGCCGTAAGAGTCGAATCTCCACAAACGTTCCTCATGGGGCTGCTGATGGTGGCGGTGAGGGTGGTGACGGTGGCGACGGGGACGGTGACGGTGGTGATGGTGTATCATCACGATGGGGTTTATGGGATGGTGGTGGTTGCGAAGACGATGACGGTGATGACACGGACGTCGGCGCCGGTGGTCCTCGCGAATACAGCAGACGGGTGCTGATGACTCCAGTTCCAGCTCCAGCCTGCCGGCAACTCCCCAGGCTCTTGGACTCGTCTCGTCCCCTCTGAAAGGCGGTGTCCGCCACGAGAGTGACTGAGCCGCGGCAGGAAACGTGCTCCCGAATCTCTGACCTGGGCTCCTCCCTCCGTCTCGACCCCCAACTTTGCTCTGTCGTGCCGTCTCCACCTGAGCCCAGAAGATCCCTGTGTGCCTCCATGAGTTTCCGCGGGACCTCAGCCTCGGAGAGCGCGCCGGTCCTTGGCGGCCCCACGAGCCCGGGTCCTCCTCCTTCCGGGCGGTCTGAGAATCCGCACGGCTACCTCTCCCAAGGGCTCGGGCGGCCCGGGCCCCTCCTGTGGCCGCCTGCCCCGTCCACACCGCAGCCCTCTCACACCACCTGCCCTATTCACGCCTGCCCTATCTCGCGCCACGGCGAGAATGCAAGACCCAATTATCATTGCCACTCTGCAGGAGGACACAGAGGCTCAGGGAGGGGCCCCGGCCCGCCGACACCCGCTGGGCCGCCCGGGGGCAGAGCTGGGGCTTGAAACAGGACAGTCTCGGGCCAGAACCGAGGCTCCCACGGTCAGACTCCACACTGTCCTGGAAGGCCACCCTGGCTCTCCACTCACATCTCGGCCTCCTGCGTCCTGCCATGTGTCCGGCACGGTACCGCGTGTCACGGTGCTCCGTTCTCACGTAGGATTGGGGAAGGACAGCTCAAGAGCCGCGCCGCATGCCCGGGCCACCCGGGGCAGGGAGCGGCGCCAAGGACACCTGGTAGCATCGTGCTCGTGCCCCCGCCACTGTGCCCATGGCCCTCACAGGCTGGTCAGCCAGCAACAGCCCCACGTGTTCGAAGGTGCAGGTCGAGGGTTTTGCCACAGGCACTGGGCTCAGCCCATGTAGAGGGAGCCAGAAAGTTCAGGGCCTGCTGCCCTGGCCTGTCCTCCCCTGTATCTGGCAGTCCAGGGGCTCAGCTATCCAGCCTGGCACCGTTGGGAGCTCTGAAGGGTGGCGCTCCTGTGGATCCCAGGCCCCGGCGCCGCACTGAGACGCCAGCCGGACTCACGTCCAGCGAGGGCGCAAGGAGCCGGAAGGGGACCTGCCCC